AGCAACCCGACGTTGTTTACACATGCAACCAATGTGAATTATGAACACTGATTGGTAATTCAGACTGTGGGGAATATGTCGTGTGGTATTGTGATCAGAAAGTCAGTCTTCTTGTTCCCCCTCCCTCCCTTCCATGTTTGAGGTCATTGTGTGAGTCGAAAATCGACCCGTATGTGTCTAAATGTGCACCGTCGCGCAGGTGAAAACCCCCGTCAAACGCGTACTCATTTAGACAATCATCCTTAACAACTGCGCTCGTGCACAACGATGTGTTACGCAAACAGGTTGCCGATCTTACTTCGAATTCAGATAATTTGTACCGTCCATATTATTAACAGTATCATTTGTAGCCGTAAAGGCGATGACAAACACTCAGATGTACTTTGGGAAACGTTTTTGTTCACAATGATTTGTCTGCACTGGCTTTGGAAATGCTCGAGCGTTTTCAATCCAATCCAACTGAACCAAAATAGGCACGCTGTACGTAGTCGTCAGTTGTCTGTTTCTTGATTTACCAACCTGAGCTTATTAGCTAATCCTCCTGGAGTGCACTGGTCCGGGAGAAGTATGTCGTAGACTAATGCTAGACATGAGTAAAGTCAATTCTGGAATGAATTGGAGCATGCAGTTGAAAAAGGATGCTGCTCTCAGTCAACACCTTCCCCCCCTCCCCCGGTCGGATTCGGACGGTCAGTTTCTAATAAACTGTGGATAGATGACAACGTTTTGACAAAGAAGTGCGTCTGATTTGCATTTGGTAGTCGTTGTGAAAAGATGGAGGAAGGGAGATGGGGTACAGTGTGGAGTTGCAATTTGTTTTCACCTTTCACTATGCGGCGTTCCACATCATGGGAGTCTCATCACGTTGCTCAAATCGCATTGGTATTCAGCGATTGATACAATTTATGTGCAACACTTTGGTTAGAAACCAACAAGGTTGGTGGTTGTTGTATTTTTAGCTTTTCAAAAATGAGATTGTTCAAGGTAATTCCGCACGAATTATTCACGATTCAAGTGTCATCTTCATTATTCCATGGTTTCGAGAAGCATTACTATTCCTCGGCAAAAACTGTCTTTTTTATTGTGTCGCAGTTTCTGTCTTAAGAATGACTGCGTTCGTCTGTGTTCACTCATGTGCGAGTTCTCCATCGTTTGCATATTGTCACGATCCCTTCGTTTATGAGATTGATTTGACAAAACGTTCGGTTCAACCTATCAGGTCAGTTCGCATGTGGCAACGTGCATTGTTCGGCCACAGGCTCCGCGGATGAAGGACGACTGCGCAGTTGGGAAGTGAACTTCGCGTACAAAGAACGCGGCGAACGACGCAACGCCCTGGTCAAGCTTCGATTATGCCCACCTTGTTCGGACAAACTAAACTATCGGCACAAGTGAGTTGTGGTATCAACAGCAGCAGTCTATGATGACCCATGCTTTTTTCAAACGTCTTCAATCGTTTGCTCATTGTCCCATAACTCCTCGAGTATTCAAATGATATGTGTGAACACCCGGAACAACCTCGATTTCAGTATATCATGCCTGTTATATGTTCTACATACCCTTATGCGACTACGAGTAAGACTGGACTCCGTGGTTACCAAGTTTTGATAACACGGTCTGAGTTGCGAACCGCATGATACCCCACTAGGATAAACTTGGCTTCAAGCCGTATGTTTCAGTTCGTATTTCCGTGCTCCGGTTTTGGTTGCTGTCTTTCGGCTGCCTATTCGGATAAAGCAGCAGAAGAATGACAGGAGAGTTGAAATTAAGGTCGAAGAGAAAATGGAGAATTTAAGCGAGCCAAGGTTGCACAAACTGAGAAGATGCATGAGCGCCATTGTTTACGACACACCCGTATCACTCAGCATATGTAACCGCTGGTTATGATAATCCTGGGGTCCCCATCCAAGGAGCCTAACGCGACCTGTATGCCTGAGCCTCTTGGTTAGGGCTTTCATAATCTCGTAACAGGTCTTATTTTGACCACCCTTTGGCTTTTTGCACCCACTACCTGCCTCGGCGAGCACCACTGAAAAGCGAAGGATTTTCCCACTTGCAAGTGAATGTTGTGTGACGTGGGCCGTTTCCTTGGCTCAGGGTAGGCATAACTAAATTATGTGACTGCCCTCTGTTTCAATGAGACCACCTGGAATTCGAAACACGTTCAAAGTTAGCTGAGACGCCTACATGTAATAATAATAATGGTACCAAGGAGACAGGGTGAATAAATAATGTTTTACAAAGTCATGATGTAATCATGCGTAAAAGAGAAGACTGTCCTCGTTAGAGCGATATCTCTGTCCGAAACAGTGACTATGTTTTGGCGCTGAAACAGAAGAGTAAAGTTTCACGGTACTGTGTGCCGCCGAAAAGTTCACACAAGGGTTACGAGTTATTTCGGATTCTGTGTGCTGTTGCGTCCAGAATAGTCAGAAAATGTTCTTGTGAACATGAATTCGGTCGTAAAAATCTTGTTGCCGCCGTAAACCTTCTTTTGTATAAACCATCGACTCACACAACTTATTACGTTTAAAACTGACCCCGATCATTGTCTACTGTCCGCTGCTTGGAGTTTTGCTTGGCGTCATCAAGATACGAAGTGTATTTGGTGACTGTTCGCCGTACCATGTGACTTGCGGTTACCCGAATAACTACTCCACCTCCGAAGTTTTGAATAGGCTCATATGGAATTTGTTAAATTCCAGTCTCACTCTGTCGTGATAACACACGAATCTGAACTGAGTCGCGTTATTCCGTTGTAAATGCCTCATGGCAAAAACCGATGAGGATGGGCTTCTAGAGTTTGGGTAGAAACATCGTACGGGTTGGGGTTTCATACTCTCCCGGGGTATTTCTGTTACTGAGCCCCGTGTACACCATTATCGTTATTGGTGCGCATAGGATTTCAGCTCTTTCTGTTATTCCGTTACCTGGTTTGTTCGTTCCCATCACAGGTTCACGTGCTTAAATTCGGCGGTGCGTCACATCGTACGAGTTCATGCGCGCATGTTTATCTAAGATGGTTTTCACGCATACACACCACGTGCTTTAAAAATGTTTTCACCACTTTTCTCCTGAGGTTTTAACTCACAACGCTCTTTGACTATTGTGCACTATTTTTCACATCAGTATTCTTATTTTTCACTCGTTTTCCACAGCTTTTGTTTAATCTGATGGTTCTTTTTCGCAACTATGAAATGATTTGTTGGCCTTCACGATTCCGCACCCACGTTTTTTCAATCGCTTGTGCTGGAGCTGAAATAAGACTTCTCAATGCACGAAATGGGCGTTCGTGTTGTTCGTTTTCCAGTTCACGTTTTCATTGATTCTCATGGTCAACGAGGACTGCTGTACGTTATTTGTTTCCCCATAGCAAAACCCTACCGAGTTTGCAGTTCTTATATTCTGTGTAGTACGCGTACTGCTTTTACCGTCTACCACATCGCGCCTTATTCACTGTACCTAATCCGGTCAGCAGATTACGTGGAGACGAGGCATGAAGAAATGCACAGAACCCGTAAGTAGAGTAGGTGTCACACGCCTTCCAGGTTGGGGTCAGAAAGACTCCGCAACTGGTTGGTTGGAGACATTGAAGGATATGGCAGCTAACCGACATCGGTGACGTTCTTGTTGTCATTTCTTATCAGGTCAGAATACTTGAAACGGTATGTATGCAGATTTCGATTGCGCACTCTGTGTGTTGACCATAGTGGCTCACCTTCTTCTCCCTCCCTCAAAATAGATCCAACCCCTGTCCACCTTAAATTTTACCACTCACCTTGTGTGCATTGCGAGTTTGGCAGTCATCAGTGTAGTTCGCCTCATTGTATGTCGCTGTCTGATGGTAATGATGATGATTTAGCACATTCCCATTTACAGCGATGTTTTGCGAACGCACACACAGCTTCATGAAATGTGATATGTTGGTGTACTGTATTACCGCTTGGGTTGGGCTCATTTAAGTGTTTTGGTTCAGGAAAATCGATTTTATCCTGACTATGCGAAGTGTTTCAAGTGCGTTTCTTAACACAGACATAAAAGTGTGCCCCCCTCCAGTTCAATAAATGGATAGAATGAATCATACATGTAGGCCGTGTCTGAGCTGATGCTTTCTGGTATATCATCAAGGAATAGTGTGTGAAACAAGCTCACAGAAACCATTGAATTAAAGTACGGACCTTTCATTCACAAATTCTGACGAATGCAGCATGGTCGATAGCTGTCTGAATTGAAACATGGAAAAATACTTGGTCACGAGGGAATTGTGAATAATTGTGAGGATTGTCGAAAAAAACTCACTAATCAATGAAGTTTATCCGGAGCTTTGCAAATAAATCCAAGCTAGTAGGTGCACAAGAAGCCATGGGATAAAATTTTATTGGAAAGCTAAGGGATAACTTCTACTGGTTGAATATCACGTAGTTTAAAGTCGCACAGATCCATGTACTTGGCTGTTGATGTTCACTGTGTACAGCAAACATAGCGAGGAGCAATTTTATACAGATACCTCCGTGGTTGTGTTAGTGGTCACCGCTTAAAACGGGCGTCCAGGTGCGTTGGGCACGTCAGGTGTTCGACCCCATCCACATGATCCGATGAACTGGACACCGGCCCCCAATGAATTGTGGTTTTCGCACACCGCCTCACTGCCTTGTGGGTCAGGCTAGCAGTTGACAAGTATGTCAACTTAGAACGACCTTCTCGCTGTGATTCCGGAACTTCAACAGGGGTCCGTGCTTTCCGTAGACAGCGGTACCTTATCTGGCGCTCAGTTCACTATAATGTTTCATGAGGGGGATTCGTCATGTATAGAGCAAATGAAGGGTGAACTGATAAGCTAGAAAGTACTGTACAGCTGTTTCAATGTGTTTGGGTCTCATCAGTAGTGCGAATCCGTCGCCTGCATCTGGGGATCGAACTTGGGACCTCACAGGAAGAACGCAGCATGTTATAATGTGTTTGTTTTATGAAATTTATAAACGTAATTGATCAGCCCGCTCACAGCCCAATCGAAACTGTCTGGTGTCTATTGACCAGGCGAATCCATACAAATGGAAGAAATTTCAATGCGATCTACAGATTTAGTTTTAGGGTCTGCGCTAAATCCCGGGATTTCCGAATAAAAGCCATCAAATTTCTTTTATTTGTGAACGAAACCTATAAGGTGACAGGAAAGCTATTTCTTCCTGCTTGGAACTCGTCAGCCATGCATACTTTCAATCGCCACTGAGACTCAAACCGCGAATTTTTGGGTTTGGATTTGAAACTCTTATCCCTGAACCACACCAACACCAACAACGAACCAACACCAACACCTTGGGCGAATGGTTCAGTGAATTAATATTGTCGTGTTTCAACTAGTCCATTCTGTTGTTTTACTGGCACTGTTAATCTTGAGTGTGACTAGCTTCTCTCCTTGCTAGTTCGTTAATGTTCTTCACGAGTTAATTACATTTGTTTGCGATAAAACCCTGTGTGCATTTAACTGGTGAATAACTAACAAACTTCCGTGTAGTGAACCCACAACGAAGACATTCGACAGTTCCTGGTGGCTGTGAACCTTTGAATGGGGACTGAATCAAACAATGCGCGAATAACGTGTTTCAATTCTGATCAGTGAAGGTCTTCTTTGCTTGATCACCAAGTGGTTTTCCAATCATTTGGTCATCTGAGTTTGCTGAAGTCAGGCCCATTATCCGAGACAAAAGTGTTTTTGCTAAGTCAGAGTTAAAATCTGATGCATTCGTTTCAGTTTCAGTTTGTACAACCAATAACCATGCGCCGGTTTTGTTTGCTGTCTTTTGGCTTCCCATTCGGATGAAGAATAGGAAAAGCCAGGAAAGTTGAAAGTAGAGTCGATCGGAAAATGGAGAATTTCAATGGTCTAATGTTGCGAGGAAATTGAGAAGATGCACGAACACCACTGTTTACGATACCCAGACATATCACACAGTGACTAACCATCGGGTACGATTATCCCGAGGTCCCCATCCAGGGAGCCTAACGGGACCTATGTGACCCAGACTCCTGGTTAGGGTTTTCATACCTTTATGCCAGGCCTTAGCTTGACCACCCTTGGCTTTATTCCACCCACTACCTGCCTCAGCGGACATCGCTCGCCGTGGCAACCTATCTGTTGACATGCGTAACACATGTCCCAACCAACGTAATCTTGCTCCAGTGGGCGACTGTGGATACCAAAAACTCTGCGTCTAACCTCAGCATTACTCGTCCGGCTGCCCCAGTGCTGCATAGACAGCGGTGTTCAAACACCGAAAGTCTATCTTTATCCTGTTTTCCTAATGGCAAAGTTTCTGCGCCGGATAGCAGAACTGGCAGAACTGTCGCGGCATACACTCGACCCTTCACGGACAAACGGATGTCGCGACGGCGCC